CTCGATGGATATTACTTTCTTTGAGGAGGTACCCTATTACCCTAGGGTTTCTCCTCAGGGGGAGTCAAAGTGTCAACAATGGCCCTTAGCAGTTGATCCACTACCTTAATGAAATTAGGTAGATCATGACCAATACGCATGCTCAAACAGACAGAAACAAGGATAAAAATGCCACAGATGGTCTTGCTAGACTGGGAAGTGATACAGCTTTTCAATAGTGTCATGATCCTCACTAAAGTAGGCTTTTTTCCCTTTTGTGTCTTTGTGTGTTTATGAATTGGGTAGGACTGTCTATCTATAACTATAAGACTATGTATCTCTGTACACCATCTCATGTAACTTTCTGTCATATAGCTTCAATGCAATCAAGACCTACGTTACCCAAATATGGAAAGACACAGTTGTGCCAGGTATCGGACATGGAATTTACAGTAAAAAAATAAGTAAYCAAACCAGAAAATAAATTCTGTTCCTGACAGTTTTTCCAAGCCATGCCTGGATACCATAGTTGGTAGAAAAGGCCTCAAAGTTACTAGTTAATCTCTCTTTGATGAGAGTTCACAAACCCACAATTTGTAATGTGTAACAATACTCTTCTGCATAGATAGGACTTTGCACATCTAGAATTCCTAACCTACTCCAACTATCTCATGAAAGAATTATAAAATCAAAACAGTGCATGCCTTCTTTTGGAAGGTTACAATGTAAAATCAAGTTATACTGATGATTAATGACGCATAACAGGCCATTACCCAATGTTGGTCCCAGCTATCTGAGATCTCGGGAGGGGTAGACTAGATATGGTCCTAACCTTTGGCATCCTGAAGTTAAATAGAACATACTTGGAAGCTTCATCATCTAGGACTGCATATTCGGCGTTTCCCGTTCAAAATAATTTAAATGATCATTTCAAATCAACAAGAACCAAGCATGAACCAGAAAAAGTTGATATAGTCAATCAGAACAAATTAGCTTGCCAGGGTCCAACTGCCAAACAGCCACCAACTTTTAACAATTGAGTTCCAAGAAGAAGAAGAAAACGATTTCTTCACATATCTCTCTTTTCAATCAAACTGCAAGTGGAGAGATTTCTTCCGCAGCCTCCAAATCCACTGTAAATTCTTAATCTTTTGTTACTTCAATAGCAAGAAAACCATAAAATCCACCCAAGAGTTCATTTCAAGTAACTTTTACTTTCTGTGAATCTTATATCCACAATTAAATGGTCAAGCAACGCAAATGCACCAACGAACAGAAGAGGAAAAAAAAGAAAGAAAACCAGGAAAAGAGTTCTAGTTGAAACATTGAATCTATAAATCCCCACTAGTTTAAAAATTGAAATTTAGTTCTTAATTTGTTCTCCCTTAGCCTACACTGAGATTCTATTATGGCCTTATAAACAATTCTCCACTGGTTCAAAGAGGCCCCAGCAATTTGAGGCACAAGGAAGGTTAATTCCCTCCAACCCATAACGTCAACTACAAARACAAACAGATATATAACTAAAACAACATTAAAAAAATGAAGTTCAACAAAAAATCTGAATGAAATAACAGTTAAACAGTCTTGAATTTAGAGAAACAGATATATGAAAGACGAATGAACAAAAAGAAATTAAAACACTGAACAGAGATAAATTTATTATAAAAATAATAGGAAGGGAGAAAACCATGAACTTCACCTTCTCGGATTTGCACTTGCAGAGGTGGGCTGGCTATTCCATGAATCTTTCGTTCTTTCCCGTAAGAAAAGCCAAACTA